GCACGTCCCATTTCGTAAAGCAGCATATTGCCATGAAGGTTTTGTTGAGAGTCCATGATACGGCAGGCGTGGATTAGTTTCACACCAAAAGGAAGCTCAGAGAAATTTGAACAAAGCGGCTAATTTGTTATCTGTTAATGGCAGAAATGTGTTCTGGGTGATGGCACATACTCCGAGTAGTCTTCTTAAGTAATTTATAACTTGTGACTAATGAACTTGACGTCTGTTGTTTTCGTGCCAAAACTTACCAGAACAAGCATTATCCCAGGTCAGTTCATTTATCCGTATGACCTGTCACCACGTATAGTACAGATCTAATCATTTTCCCGACAGTTTCGTTTCCTGATATTCGCCACCCACAAAGCGAGTTTATACGTGACAACAATCGCTGTCTTGGAATCTCGCCTTATTCATCGATGCTGTGACGTGTGGCCAGAATGGTCCTCCAATAATGCTCTAATTTAGCTCAGCTAGAGTGTTCGCAGTCTTGCATATTGGCTGACGGGAAAGGAATCGTTTGGCGTTTTTCCGAACATCCAGTAATTTCTTGCCGATCAGAAGCTATTCATGTGAGTGCGAGCGATCAATCGAGAGCCTGTATCTCTGTGGAGTGTGAGACGTGTTTGCTATGTAAGAAGACTTTTTATGAGGCTGAAGCATCAAAATTAAGCTATGTTCACACACGCCGCTCATTTCTATTATCATCGCGTTTATATTTCGCTGGAAGCAGGGAAACCTGTCAACATGCAGAGGAAATCTTGTAGCATCAGAGGTTAATGTTTTCTTTGAGGTTTTTCTTCCTCAAAGTGGAAAAAAAATCCCAACTTCAATATCAAAAATTTTTCTTTTTGTTACAGTGATGCGGAAAAATATTTCAAAAAGACATATACATTTTGGGATAACATTCAGTTATGAGGGGACAAATGAAAAATCCATTTCATTTGCAGGGATGGAAATTTTTCTAGACGTGTTGATAACCGTTGGTAAGGTGAGATTTGAGAACACGGCCCCACATCGTCGGTTCCTTGAGACATCCTTTTATAGTGGTGCAACATTTAGAATAAAATTATGGTTCTCAAAACCAAGTGTTTTTTCTCCTATACAGCTTATATTTCGTTTGACAAAACTCCTTCCTTAGAGTGCCAGTACGTGAACTATAACACACGCTTTGAGAAACTTGCTTAAATATGGTTTTGTTAATTTCTTCTGTTCATTTGATCTCCTGTGGTCTTTCATTTGTGCTCTAAATCTCTCCGGACAGATGTCTTTCTTTATACCATTAGTAATTACCTAATAGCGTATTGTATCTTAATTCTAGCGATGACATTAATTTTTGGGAAATACGGTTTAGCAGGGAAAAAGGATTGAGTTATACTTTTTGGGAAATTGTTCATTGGCCATTCGACAATGCGACTGCCAAGAAAGGGTGTGGCGAACGGCGGAGAGAGACGGGACGATCGATATTTTGTCCTTCTAGGGAATTTTTACTCTGCTGATATATAATGAAGTTCCAAGAAAAACGATTGATTGAAATACTAGAAAAATTCCTCTATACATTGATATGCTTTTCGGCTTCCAGCGAATTATACGCGAGATAAAAATATGGGCGAAAGGCGAGTTTGAAACATAACATTTGATCCGGATGCTACAACGTTATTAGGGGGTCTTTGAAAAACCGCCGACGTGAGGTTATAGCCTCAAGTCTCGGCTTCCGAATGGTTACTAACATCTCCTATGAAACTTAACTCTCCAGCAAATAAGATCGGTTGTTTATTTGTCCCTGCATAACTTTAGAGTACATATTTTTGATTAATCGAGATTTCAGCTATGAAACAGTACCTAACAGCCTAAGGAAAGAATTTTGTCGAGAGAAATATAAGCACGATAATAATAAAGGGCACGGACAGGTGTATAAGGTGATTTTATTTCGAATGCTGTAGCGTTTTAAATAGGAATTTCAAAGTACAAGCACACCATTCCGTCAAGACTTAAGTTTTGATTGATCACTAACATACATATGAAAAGATCCTACACAGAGAAAGAAATCCGTTCTTTTTTCTGTGCTGTCTAACGCAAAAAAACCTCATTTTTATGACCATTTAATTAGTCGAAAGGTGATGAAGATACCAGGGCGGAGTTTAATCAAGAGGTATAGAGCGTATGTTGTACGCTACCTTTCAAATTGTACATCTCGGGGTCTATCAGTATGCTTTATATTTGATCAACTTCAACAGAATCATAGTAACATTGTACAACCGGATGTGCTCATTTAAACTCCATAGTTTCTTTGAAAATCAAAATTTACAGCAGATTTTATTCTGCTTTCATCATCGATGTTATTTTTACTGAGCATTGCAAACCTGAATTAAGAACAGCTTAGTTCTCAGATCACCCGCAAATGGAAATATACTTGATTACAAAAGCCAAAACGCCTTTGTCTTTGCTTTAGTTGGTGGCTCGATAAGACACTACTGGCTAATTTCTGCTTTTTTCACTCAATGGTCTATTTACCATCCACCGTTTGCAATTTTGACTCATTACAAAACCGGTTCATGCTTTTGAAATGCTTTAGTGAAATTTGAAGATGAAGTAAACAGTTTAGACTTGATGGTTTGATGCTCTGCCCATCAAGTGCATTTCAGAAATAATCTTTGAAGCACATCGTCTGTGAGACTCAACATTATTCGTAAGGCTAAGGTGTCATCCTACTGGTTTTCTAGATACTAGAGCGCTCCCATGGCCAACAGATCGACGACAGTTTCATCATTTCTATGTGCACAGCATCTTCATCTCAATCAAGTAATTCATCATCTACTACACTACTACAACAAGTAAATCCTGCAATACTATGTCGTTGTGTTGGGCACCTCTTCCGACGTAAATTTACGAGAGAATGATTATTTCGTTGTTAGAAAAGTCGCGTTTCCACAATGTTCATGCAGTTATAATCGTCACGACTGGGTAACATGAGATCACCTGTGACTGAAGAGTGTCGATTGAACAATTTTTTTCTATGTTTTTTGAGATTGAGCGGTTAGCAGAGTTCTTCTTTTGAGACCATTGTCACGATAGCAAACTGATCCATCTAGAAGAGCTATTGGTGCATTTTTCTTTGCTCAAGAGGTTGAATTCGTCCAAAAACCATTATACGAGAGATGGTCAGCAGCGGAGAAAGTATTTGCGGTGATTGCAGTAGTTTATGTTTACGATCATTGCTGAATTACCGCATGTGAGTAAACTCTAATTTCGTTGTTTCGAGTCGCCGAATTCTCTGCACGATCTCAGTGAAGACATGCAACATGTAATCGCTAGTAAAACTAAACTGTTCTTGATCTATCATTATGTCGTTGACATCATCTGTACAGCTGTATGCGCAACGTTACACTAACTATGTATCACGTGTTTAAAACCCTGATGTTGTCTTATGTGATATCGGAACCATTGGTATTACGACAGATTCCGTTAAAATATAACTGAGCAATGTATGACTTTTCCTCACTGCCTTTCTTTTCTCATGGAAGCGTGAGATGTGAGATAAAATGATAGGGATCTGACGTGCAAGAGAAACTCGTCAGAGTTAATTCCAATAGTTCAGGCTCACTTGCCGAAGACATGAGCAGTCTATATGTTTGCGCAGAAGAATTGATGCTGTGCAATTACGTTGAACAGGTTTACATATTTTTCTTTCTCATCTTGTTTTATAGGTATAGATTTGGAGATGGTGTTTAAAAAGCAGTTAATTTAGCCATAGTCGTTCTGCGTAAGCTGTGATTCGCTAGACTTTATTGATATTGATATGAGACTTGGTTGTGAATTCTGAGCAGTTTTGCAGCAATTTTGAAACTTCAAAACATAACCATTAATGTAGAACGTTTAAGGTTCAAAAAAAATCAGCTGAATACGTGCTTTCGTCATTCGCGGCCAATACACTCACATTTAGTGATATCAAAGTGACTATGAATGAACGAAAAGAGGTAACAGTGGAAGATAAACAGTCTGGTCACAATTCAAATAGCATATTGGAACAAAACTTATACTGATGGGTTCTTTTTAGCTAAGAGGACGAACATTAAATTCAAAAAATATTAGTAAGAAAATTTGTATAATTTGAGGACGGGTTCATCAATGCTCTCATAGGCAAAACGGAGTGCACAAAGACTCAATAATCACTTTGCACAAATATTCAGATTTCAGATAGTGGTTTACATAACATTCATAAACTATCACGTTTGGTTTAGTTCAAATTTCCTTTCACAGCAGGAGTGGACGTTGACATAGGCCACTTGGAAGTAAAAGTCATCGGTGGACCAACTCTTTACTGCATCCATTATAACTGGAGAGACTGGCCATATTGTGGAGTAGATAGTAGAGTAGAGTTTACAATTTAAGACTTTGTTAGTACTGTTTTTTATTAGCTTTCTGGTGAAAATTAGTAAGAAATATTATCAGTGAAAATATCAAGTTAAACAGATGTCAGTTTACACTTTTTATTGGTCAAGTTTCTACCTTGTTAGATCTTCGTACAGAGAAAGAATTATTCGTTGGGCCTCGATGACCTGCCGGAGAGATTTGATTTCGTAACATCGGTCACATTGAACTTAATCTATGCAGTGAAATAAGACATCAATCTCTACCTTCTTTGCACATTGTGTTTGGTTAGATACCTTGCACATGATAATTAAATCTTTATGGAAATTAGTGCGCTGAAAGGATGGGAATTAGTAACATGAAATGTATAGGAGTGCCCTACTACAGGTGCACCAAGATTGCAGGAAGAACTTACTCGGTCAGCATTTGACGAAATTTAAGAACAAGACAAATCAGTCCTCATACTGCAGACGAAACGTAGGGTTTAGATACGAGGACCATCTTAAGCGTTCGATGTAATGCATCAAACCAATTGAAAAAAATGAATCTCGATTTTTTTCGTTTGATCCTCTTGAGCAGTGATATGTTGTGATATTATACTCAAAGATGAAGAGTGATAAGCTTAAACTTTTTGCGTCAGGTGGGATTCGAACCCACATTTCACCCTAACCGTGGGCACGTGCTGAAGTGCTGCACTACCGACGCTCCTTTTTGACATCACTCTTTCTATGCTAAATCACCACCGTTGACGGTTGGCCGCTGACAGGTAGAAGCGTTGTAGCATAGCAAGGGCGGTGTCAAAAGCGGTGGTCGGTAGTGAAACACTTAAGCACGTGTCCTCGGATAGGGTGAGATGTGGGTTCAATTCCCACCTAACGCACAAGTTTTTGCACATCACTCTTCACCTTCGAAAAGAAATGGCGTCCGTACAATAGATGATAGGTGATCCAAAATCGATAGATTTCAAACACCGAGACGATACCAATGACCAGCCACCCTTCTCGTATGTTGACGTGCATCCAAATACAAGCAATATCTTAGATGAGCATTAGTGGAAATAACTTTTTCTGTTGCTTAGAAGCTAAGAGTCGCTCGAATCTATTGGTTAGTGTCACGAACGACAGACATGTTTAGTATTTTTGTTTTATTTCATATGAACTGCTATGCCTAAAATGAGTAACAAGATCGCATCAATTTCAGGATGTCGGATGTCTGGACTTTCAACGTGTAGTGATCAAAATCTTCCCAGTCTCTTAAATTCACTCAAATTATGCGTCAGCAACAATCAATCCGAAACAATTCATTTGCACTCAGGTGATTGATTATTATTATAGGTCTTTTCATAAGTTCTGGTAGTAGAGCAATAAACCACGAAATTTACTAACCGTTTGTAATCAAAATTACTTAACAACACCATTGAAAGTATACGCCATCAGCCTGAGAACTTTTCCGCCACCTCTCAAGGGACAAATCATTACCGAGGTCATGAAGATTGCCATTCTAAAGTTTTAGGAAGTTGTCGATCCCCGACGTTAGTGATTGATGTCTCGGAACTTCGTTTGGCTCAGGAAGTGCTCCAGCTACCAGAAGAGGTGACAGTTAGAAGGCGAAAAGTCAGAGCTATACCGCGCATGACCCAACAACTTGCAGCTCGTTCAGTCAGCTTTCACTCTATTAATCTGGAGACACACTGCCTTGCGTTGTCTTGAAGCAGGGTGAAATCGCGGGGACGTCGACGTGACAAGGCTACAGGTGCTCACTGTAACGCTTGGCGTTGATCATCTCGCCGGGTAGCAATATGTCCCATCGAGTCATCCTTGCCCTGTCCAAAAAGATAATGAGTTTAGTCTTTGGGACGAATTGACTCGCACGAGGAGCTGGAATACCTCATGGGCTTGGTGACATCCACTGATTCGGGAAACTTTGAATCCTGAAAAATCCCAACGAATCATCCCTGTCCGGTCCAAAAACATGATGAGTTTAGCCTTTGAAACCAATCAACTCTGACGTGGAGCTGGAATACCTCATTGGCTTAGTGACATTCAATGATTTGGGTGACTTTGATTCTTAAAGGAAATCCTCTTTTCATCGACGGCGATGGACCTTTATCCAGAAATGAAGAGCGAACGCAACAGTTTCTGAGCGACGTTCGAGCGGTGCCTAATTGAGTTCATGTGTAATGCATCGACACTTTTTCCAGCTTATTTCCTAGATCCTTAAATATTCCGCTGACTGTCGCTTGACCACTGTTAATCGTCGCCCCACTCCTCGGTAGCTAAAGTCGGATCACCTTCAGTTGCTTCGATGACGAGAGCTCAATCAGATTCGCGTGGACTTCTAAAGCGCGGCTGGTCTTTGAACATGATGTTGTTGGCGCGAACTCAGTAAAAAACCGAAAGGGTCTTCTCTTCGACGCAGATGCTTGAGCCTTTGCACGGTTGTTCTTCTCGAAGGCGGTCTGTGCAGCGCATCCTATTTCGTACTCGTCAAGAAGCATACTGCTATGAAGGTTTGTTGAGAGTCCATGATGCGGCAGGCGTGGATCAGTTTCACACCAAAAGGAAGCTCAGAAAAATTTGCACAAAGCGGTTAATTTGTTATCTGTTAATGGCAGAAATGTGTTCCGGGTGATGGCCCATACTCCGAATAGTGTTCTTAAGTAATTTATAACTTGTGATTAACGAATTGACGTCTGTTGTTTTAGTGCCAAAACTTACGAGAACACCCATTATCCCAGGTCAGTTCATTTATCTGTATGGACCTGTCACCACGTATAGTACAGATCTGAGCATTTTCCCAACAATTTCGTTTCCTGATATTCGCCACCCACAATGCGAGTTTATACGTGACAACAATCGCTATCTTGGTATCTCGCTTTATTCATCGGTGCTGTGACGTGTGGTCAGAATGGTCCTCCAATAATGCTCTAATTTAGCTCAGCTAGAGTGTTCGCAGTCTTGCATATTGGCTGACGGGAAAGGAATCGTTTGGCGTTTTCCGAACATCCAGTATTTCTTGCCGAACAGAAACTTTTTATATGAGTGTGAGCGATCAGTCGAAAGCCTGTATCTCTGTGGAGTGTGAGACGTGTTTGCTATGTGAGAAGACTTTTTCATGAGGCTGAAGCATTAAAATTAAGCATATGTTCACACACACGCCGCGCCTTTCTATTATCATCGCGTTTATATTTCGCTGGAAGCAGGGAAAACCTGTCAACATGCAGAGGAAATCTTGTAGCATCAGAGTTTAATGATTTCTTTGAGGTTTTTTCCCTCAAAGTGGAAAAAATTCTAACTTCAATATCGAAAATTTCACTCCACATACCAAACTCGTTTTCATGGGCTGTCAATAGTAAAATATCAATTAACAACCACCACTTTTTCTAACGAAAGGCAATGATTGTCGTATGTGAGACTGAATCATATCTTCTCAGCTGACGAAAAAGTTTTTGAAAAAAGCATAGCAATTGAATCGTTGGAATTTGCGCTATTGAATAGCCTCATAAGTCAGAGAAAACATCTTTGTCCTGTGAGGCATATGAGTATGTGAAACCAAAATCTCTTCTTTTTGTTACAGTACTGCGGAAAAATATTTCAAAAAGACATAAACATATTGGGATAACATTCAGTTATGAGGGGACAAATTAAAAATCCGTTTTATTTGCTGGGATGGAAATTTTTCTAAACGTGTTGATAACCGTTGGAAAGGTGAGATTTGGAACAGGCGTTACATCGTCGGTTTCTTAAGGCATCCTTTTATAGTGGTGTAACATCTAAATAAAATTATGGTTATTAAAACCAATGTTTTTTGTCTTGAACAGCTTACATTTCGTTTGACAAAACTCCTTCCTTAGAATGTCAGTACTTATACTATAACACACGCTTTGAGAAACTCAATATGGTTTTGTTTTTTAGAAAGTTCTGCTATTCTTTTGATCTCCTCTAGACTTTCATTTGTGCTCTAAATCTCTCCGGATAGAAGTCTTTCTTTATACTATTAGTAATTACCTTATAGCGTATTGTATCTAGATTCTAGCGTTGAAATTTATTCTTGGGAAATACGGTTTAGCAGGGAAAAAGGATTAAGATATACTTTTTGAGAAGTTGTTCACTGGCCATTCGACATTGCGACTACCAAGGAAGGGTGTGGCGAACGGCGGAGAGAGACGGGACGATCGATATTTTGTTCTTTTAAGGAATTTTTTCTCTGATTATATATAAAGGAGTTCCAAGAAAAACGATTGATTGAAGTACTGGAAAAATTCCTTTATACATTGATATGTTTTCGGCTTCCAACGAATCATACGCACGATAAAAATAAGGGCGAAAAGCGAGTTTGAAACATAACATTTGATCGGGATGCTACAAGGTTCTAAGGGGGTCTTTGAGAAGCCGCCGACGTGAGGTTATAGCCTCAAGTCTCGGCTTCCGAATGGTTACTAACACCTCCCATGAAACTTTCCTCTCCAGCAAATAAGATCGGTTTTTCATTTGTCCCTGCATAACTTTAAAGTACATATTTTCGATTCTCCGAGATTTCACTTATAACAGTACCTACCAGCCCAAGGAAACAATTTTGTCGAGAGAAATATAAGCACGATAATAATTAAGAGCGCGGGCAGGTGTATAAGGTGATTTTATCTCGAATGCTGTAGCGTTGTAAAAAGGAATTTCAAAGTACAAGCACGCCATTCCGTCAAGACTTAAGTTTTTGATTGATCACTAACATACATATGAAAAGATCCTACACAGAGAAAGAAATCCGTTCTTTTTTCTGTGCTGTCTAACGCAAAGAAAACCTCATTTTTATAACCATTTAATTAGTCGAAAGGTGATGGAGATACCAGGGCGGAGTTTAATCAAGAGGTATAGAGCGTATGTTGTACGCTACCTTTCAAACTGTACATCTCAGGGTCTATCAGTATGCCTTATATTTGATCAACTTCAGCAGAATCATAGTAGAATTGTACAACCGGATGTGCTCATTCACACTCCACACTTTCTTTAAAAATCAAAGTTTACCGCAGATTTTATTCTGCGGTCTTCATTAGTGTTATTTTTACTGAGCATGTGCATACCTGAATTCAGAACAGCTTAGTTCTCAGATCACCCGCATGTGGTAATTACTTGTTTTACGAAAGCCAAAACACTTTTTTCCATGCTTCAGTTGGTTGCTCGACAAGACACTACTATCTAGTTTCTGCTTTTTTCACCCTATGATCTATATACCATCCACCGTTTGCCATTTCTACTCATTACAAAACCGGTTCATGCTTTTGAAATGCTCTAGTGAAATTTCGAAGATGAGAAAACGTTTAAACTTGATGGTTTGATGCTCTGCCCATCAAGTGTATTTCGGAAATTAATCTTTGAAACACATCGCCTGTGAGACTGAAACATTATTCGTAGGGCTAAGGTGTCATCCTACGGGTTTTCTAAATACTAGAGCGCTCCCATGGCCATCAGATCGACGACAGCTTCATCAACTCTATGTGCACAACATCTTCATCTCAATTAGTACTTTCATCATCTAGTGCACTACTACAACGAGTAAATCCTGCGATACTATGTCGTTGCGTTGGGCACCTCTTCCAACGTAAATTTACGAGAGAATGATTATTTCGTTGATAGAAAAGTCGCGTTTCCACGATGTTCATGCAGTTATAATCGTCATGACTGGGTAACATGAGATCACCTGTGACTGAA